TTTAGAAAGTTTAACGACAGACTAACAGAGAAGCTAAAACCTCAACTCTATTGCCTGTGGCTTAACTGGGTATTGCTATTTCATCCTTATCAGTCGTTTATAATATAAAGATACTCTCAATGAGTTAACGCTGACATTTAACCAAATTAATATAAAGTTATTAGTGCCGGATTTATTTACTAAATAACAATAATGCATTAAATAAATAGAATACTTCAAAAACTTGCAATGTTGATCTTGAATTGAAGAATTACTCAATGAAAATTTGACAGAACAACACTCCTACAACACCAGAGGTAAAGACCAACTCGATGTGCCATTCTGTAGGCTAAGTAAGAAGAAAAACTGTTTCCCGATACTAGCAATGAAACTATATAATGTATTGCCAGCTAGTACCAAGGATCTTGATCCCCGCAAGTTTAAGCGAACAATTGAAAAATGGCTGAAAAAACACCTCTCTTCTCTATTGAAGAATTTTTTGAAGAGGTCAAAAAACCATAAATCCTGCCGCCAATCTGTAAATATTCAAACAGTAAATTCAAGTTTTAGTTTTTATTTTTCTTTGTGACGATGGACTGCATAGTTCTAATTATTAGTTTAGTTAGTATCGACTCAATCTATCCAGCAACTGCTGGTCAAAGATGAAGAAAAGAAGTATGAAGTAAGTATGACGTCAAAGTACGTTATACTTACAATATGCAATACAAGTTTTTCCTTTGAATTTTAGTACTTCAAAAAGCTATATTTCAAAGACAAAATACTAAATCAATTAAGAGAGTTAAACCCTTATTGAAAGTCAAAATTCATTTTCTAGTTTGTACTAGATTTTTTGGTTGTACTTGATTTATCAAATTTGAATAAACCAATTATATTTCGTGGATTTGTTTTCATGGATATTCTGTAATATGTAAGAAATTGAACGAAAGAAATTAAATTTGTATTTTTAAGTTCTTTTCATGATAACGTCTAAAGCACCAAATTGCAGCATTGAGATTGTCATTGCGATCATTTATGTATTAGTTTTTATAAATAAATTGTACAAACATTGTTTCAATTCAATGAATTTTCAAACCTTTTCGTAAAAAATATGTAATATGTGGATAAATTCCAATTCCAATATCTTTCCTAAACCACATAATGTACAGTTTACGTCCAATATACTGGTTATGACAACATAAATTGCTGAACAAATGTTCAACGATCGTAATACAACACTGACCGTATGACATTTGTAACAAACAATTAACAGCTGATTGACGCATTGTTGCGGACATGTGTTGAACCTGACGGACAACGTCAACCACCCCCGCACCCCCACAACCCCCTGACACGCCCCTTGCTGTTATTGGTCCTCACAGGCTCCACCCCTCTGTTCTGATTGGTCCAGCACTATATGAATATTTACTTGACACCTCCGGGGAAGATTTAGTCTCTTTCCATCCCCCAGAACGTTCGCATGCATTCAGCGAGTGTCTTCTTTTCTACACGTGTTCCTATGAACTGCTTTAGACTACGTTTTCCTGTGATTCTTGAGATAGTGTGCGTTTTAAATTAGAGGTAAGAAGTTGTAGAAATATTTTATAAAAAAAGTATTTTAAAATTTTGCCCCTTAAAAAGTGTGTAGTATGAAATGTAGCCGGATGAAAACAAAACTTTCTAATAGAGGCCAATCCATTTATTTTTTGTTCATACTATTATGCATTCAAAATATACATGGCGAGTGTATGTACTAGTTGTGATGGAAGTAAAATGTATCGATTTACTGAATAAAAAAACTGTTTAATATTTTGTGAACTGTATTTGGATTTTAGGATTTTCAAACTACGTAATTTAAAACAATGCAGTTATAACAAATTTGGTGGTACAATTAGGCAAAAATATGACCGCGTAACTGGATAACTGGTTCACAAAGGAAACTTAATAATTACGACTTGCTCTTCTGCGTTCTTCTCCGTCGCATGAGTGTAGCATCTTGAGTGGTAATACATATGTATGTAGGTTTTATTGAGCTATTTATAGTAAAAAATACTCTATACATCCATCCATTTTAGTGCGTTAATAAAAACTGTAATTTATGTACAAATCCCCTCGTGCCAATTTTAAAGATACAAAATCAAAATACGTAAATGATGTTTTGACACACATATTTTTGCAATGTTACGTAACTTGAATTTTAACAATAAACTTGTTTAAATGATTGAATAATAACAGATTAATATTAGGACCTTTTAGTTTACAAACATTGACTAATTGTTTACTCATGAACAATGTATTAATACTTTCCCTATAAATTCAGCGAGGGGTTTAAAAAAAGTTCTCGAGTTAGGAATTTAAATTTTTTCAATAATCGAATTTTTGAAACAAACATGGATATGGCATTTTCTTCAACATACTCCAGGGAAAAAACAAACGAATTGATTGTGCTAACATAGCTAACTGTAATCCTTTGTACATAATTTTATGTTCGATTTGTAATTTAACATAGTTCATTGAATATATTTGGGTTATGGTAACTGTGTAACCTTCCTCCTAAAAGTTATGGCTGCGAGTATACATAATTAATTTAAATTATAGTAATAAATCGTCGCAGATGTTTGTCGACATGTAGCTCTCCAATGAAAATAGTTTTCATGTTCACCGATAGTTGTACACAGATTCCATCTAGTTCTATCTCTGAAGAAAATGTTGAAACTTTTACTAACTTAAAAAGAGATGAATTTTGTTTACAAACTGTATTAAATAAATAGCACTACATATATTTTAAACATTATCATTTATATGAGAAATGAAAAAGGATACAACTCTAAAATTTACCACGGGTTTTTAATTTTACACGATGCGTTCAAATGTGTTTGTGCAATAAGGCGTGCAAGTAACAAAAGCTTTTTAGTTTAAAATATCAATGTTGAGACTATTAAATAAAAAATATGAAACCTGTTTAGCTTTGCTACTTCCAGTTTTTGTTTTTGTTTAAAACATATTCTACTTTCATAGTTTTTTACCAAACAATATATTTATGGTTTATGTGTTATTTATGTATGCAATGTATAGCTAGGTACTGTTTACAATTTTCATTACGATAAAAGAGTTAGGACCCGCTGTATAAGTTTTTCGAGATCGTTGTATGTTTAAGGACACTACTGATATACCGAATATAAAAAATTTCTGAATATTCGGAAAATATTCTAAACATGACAAAGGAATTTGATGTAGAAACCAAGATTTTTTCATCTTTTATCGTACTTTCTAGACTAAAGTTTTTATCCTTTGTGGTTATAGTATCTTATGTAAATTAATTGGTATATTGTAGTTGGTAAATAAATAAATGTCTTTAAATGTTTTGTAAAGTAAGTGTCTCACTATAATTTTAAACATAACAATAGAAAGCTATGGAAACATAAGTATTTACAATACGGACTAACACAAATTAAAATAAATGATATATTTATGCACAATTTTGATACATTAGGAGCTCCTGTAAATAGGCCAGAAATTTTAAAAATGATGCAAAGTTAATTTACATTTGCACAGCAGAGTACTTACAACACAATAATCGTAGCTAAACTTTTATTCGAACATTTATTTTAAAACTGATCAAAGAGAAAAAATACAAATTTTGCTTCTTAAATTAAAACCAAACGGAAATTTTGAACCTAATGATGTACCTCTTCAGAATTTCAGAAGTAGAAGATTACATTTTAAATTTGATGTTGATTAATATATTTCGATATATCAAAACAGTATTCTATCGCATACACATTTCAATTTTTTACAATACTTTAACTACCATAATACACCTTTAAATAAACTAGCATTGATTATATTTTGAAATCAGTTTACTGTCTCACCCTGTACAATCACATCGCCTGACGTGTTACAGTATAAAGTGGAACGAATACAAAGTTAAATCGTACACCGTACGGGCCATTGAGTGCATTGTTAAATGCTCATTTCAATGATCGAGGGGAAGTGTAAGGGATGTTATGGGGGTGTGTTTAGCTGATGAGTGACTAGGGTCGAGGGTGCCGACCCCGGTTCCCCGTTGTTCTCCCCATAAGTTTATGGGGTTTGTGTCGTTAAGAGATTGTGGTTCGTCTCAGTATTGTAAGATTATCAGCGAGTGTGAATAACTCATGTAGTTTAAAATTGTATATTGTCTTTTATTTATTAAACTAACGAATAATATACAGTATAGTTTAATAAAGTGCATACTTTTTGTAACAGTACCAACATTGCCGATATTAAAGTAAAATATATATTTTTACTGTTTTTTTATAACTGTGCAGTTAGAATTCGAAAAAATTGGGAACTTATTAATTTTATGTTCAACATAATTTAAATATTTAACCTTACAACTCGAAATTTATAGATTTTTCGGTGACAATGGTGTCGTGGTTGTGTCCTTTTTTTACTAAAATAAAAATTTTAAAAATCCGAAATCGTAACACTTTATCTACATAGTTCTAGGTTTAGTGCGATTCTTCTAAATCATAAATTGTCCAATGAAAATTATTTACTTATACGCTAACTGACGTGTTTTCACAATGAAAAATCATTCGCATTTTACTAAATTGTTGTATTTTATTTATATAAGTGGGGTGGAGATTTTAAATTTATACGAATACTAAATATAACGCAATTACTAAATTGAAAAAATAAATTAAATTAAATCTTCAACTATATCATATAGTAATTGAATCCCAACTATAATTCGGCCGCTTAGATAGTGACCTACGCGCTAATGCTAACCAATGCTAGAGGAGGTTGCTATCAAAGCGGGCGAACTATAACCATCGGTTTTATATCAAGGGTGTTTATAACAATCTATGATGATTCAATGCTTATGGGTGTAGTGTGGTAATTTATTTGCAACTAAACGCACGCTAAACATATATGCCGTTCTTCGATCTTTTCCGATAAAATAATAACTATACACATTTGTATAACACTCTATATTTAACCCAAATACAGTTTAATTTAAAATCATATTTTTGTTTCAGAATCCGTTCCCGTTCGGTGCCGGAATGACGATGGACATCCACCAGCGAGGTCTTCGGCACGACGGCGATCCCCTGTACCTCCCCAGGGTCTCCCCCGAGACCATCGGCTCCCAGACACCCGACATACCATCGCCTCCGCAGAAACCGGCCAAGAGGAGCTTCGACGTGGCCTTCCTGATGGCCCCTGACGACCTGTCCACCAAGAAGCGTCAGCAGCAGCAGCAACAGCTGAGACTAGTCACTTCAGCGTCGTTGATGCAGAGGCATTCCCCTCCACACATGACGATGGCCGGAGACATGGAAATGAAGATATCCAGACATCTCCATCACCAAAGAATGATGCATCAGAGAGACTTCAATGACCTACGTCCTACTTCACCTCTCGGGCTACTAATTCCATCACCCAAAGAAGTCTTGAAGTCCGGCCCGGACTCGAAGGAGTCGGTAATTGATGTTACCCAAGAGGAAGAAAATCAATTCGCCAAAAGCGCTTTCACCAAAGTCAAAAGTGCGAGGTTGGATTTTCCCGGAGCGAATGTGTCAGCCTCTCCTTCGTCAGTGACATCGAACAGATCCGGAGGATTGTCACCTGATGTATCGTATCAAGATAGTCTTAGCCCGCCGATGGCGAATCGTGGCTCCCCAGTCAACTATGCTAAAATGAACCCGAACATGAACTACTTCGAGAAAAATCCACCCAATGTACAGTTCTACCCAAAAGAAAAACCTGAAGGAAACTCTTCACGAGAGGGAAACGGATTTGTAGGGAATTTACTTAACAAACCCCCAGACATGGGTAAATTTCGCACGATGTTCTGTCCGAATGGCAACCTTCCCTATGGTGGTTTACCAGTTCCGTATCCATTCCCACCGAATTTCCCTCCAGGAGGACCTCCTGTTCCCGCGCTTTTGACTGCCGCCGCCAGTGTTACTGCTGCTCTACTACCTCCTGCGCTCGCTGCTCTTACTCTACCTGCACAGAACGTCTGCGCCAAATGCAAGATATCCTTCAGGATGACGTCAGATCTAGTTTACCACATGAGGTCCCACCACAAGGGAGAGCACGTAGCGGTAGACGCCGTCAGGAGACGCCGGGAGCAGGACAAGCTCAGATGTCCTGTCTGCAACGAGACCTTCAGGGAACGACACCACCTGACCCGCCACATGACCGCCCATCAGGACAAGGAGGGGGACGACGATGAGGACGACGCTCTAGAACTGTCGAGGAGGCGGAACCACCTAAAGTGACAAAACCATCTCCACCTCCATCAGTGTTAGTCCCCGTACGTGTTAAAGTGCAATATGTAAGCAATATTAAGTTTTCGTTGTTACCTCTTTATCGTGTAATTTTCCCGCTGTGAATGAACATTATTGAACATTTCTTTGTATCATATTGTATATAATCGTTGTATGACTTGTTGTTTCATTGTTATTTAATAATAATCGTTATTCAGTATTGAGAATTTTAATTCACTCCTGTTATCTTTTTGTATAATCTGTAAACGAGTAAAAATTTTAAATGTATTATCAAGTCAAAATAAAAAAAGACCTATAACCTCCTTGAATATTTATTGGAAATTATAACACAAATTATTAACATATTAAAATCATAAACTATAGAAAACATTATAAAACTCTGTGTTTTATATGTGTACACATTTTTTTAAGTGAGTCAGAATATGATATGATATAAAAGTGATAAATTCCAAATTAGTAAGTCTAGCGACTTCATGAACACCAACGAAAACTCTGCAATATACACAAACAAAACAAAAGATATACAGAGAGTTCACATTTATACCTTGCTAACTAACCGTAGTAAATTAACGAATTTACGATATAATATTATATAACCGTAGGCATATGACAGAAAGTGACTGAGGGGTAAACGATGAAACGTTAGCCAACACTCAAGGCCTCGGGTACGATACGAGCGGCGAGCGGTGAGCGGCAAGCGGCGAGCGGCAACCTGAGCGGCACGTAAGCGGCGGTGGTGGCTACGATACAAGCGGCACATTTATTAACGCTCATCAAATTTCTCCAGTTTTATGAGTCAGTTTAGTCGAAAATGGTAAACTATGCTTACCTGCAAGACGTATTGCAACAATTGTTGCTATCTGACAATTGTTTGCCTTTAAAGAAAAACTTAGTTATTAGAAAAACCTTAACTCTAACTTTGTCCCATACTTTTCTGGTAACTGAAGTGTTTTAAAACTTCCGTACTGGTCATTCCACAAACATTCCCTGCACTGCTCCTCACGTATCGACCCGTATCGCATGTTTTCTGCTGTTTCACTGTCATTTTAGGCCGAACTGAAGCATGACTCACCTGAGCGGCGAGCGGCGTTTTCGCGAAAATCGGTTTTGACTTGGAACCATGAGCGGCGCTGAGCGGTGCCGCTTACCGCCGCTCGCCGCTCAGACGTATCGTGGCCACCCTCAACAAATTTACATGCAACTAAATGAGACCCGATGTCAGAGCGGCGCCGCTCATGCCGCTCGCCGCTCACCGCTTGCCGCTCGCCGCTCGTATCGTACCCGGGGCCTTATAGTAAGTGTTAAAACCTTCTTTCAACCTGACGCGAACAAACTCATACGAACCTCAACTATGAAGTTATTATGAAGTTTATTATCATGCTTACATAGAGCTACCCCTATTTTTTTTTTAACTAAACTATTCTTAATTTTTTCACCTAACATAGGACTCAAATTCTAACCAATTATTGTGTTTAAGCTTGACAAAAAATAGTAGGATACTTGAAAGAAAAAAAATTGGAACGCTGACAATTTATTGAGTTAATGATCACTCCTAAGTTATTTGGGAATGCTGTACATTATAATATATCTTGTTTCTAATTAGCACAAGATTAGTGGATCACAGCCTTTTGTACTCAAGATCATCAATCAAGATGGCTTCGCAAAGATCATTAAATTTAGTAACTATAATTTTTACACGCCGAAGTTACAGAGGTAAATATGTCAATGACACGATTCGATGAAACTTTTATGGAAGTTGGATTATTTTTTAGATTGTACTACATTAGTTCTGAATCCAGAAGATAGTAACTTATAGGCTTGTCAATCATAAATAGATCTAAATACTACAAAGAAAGTACTTTGAACTTTCTTGAGGTAAGCTTTTATAACTTAAAGGCAAGTAAAGCAAAACAAGTGTAAGCAATTTTAAATCCAATGTTAGGTACACTTCCATATCTGTTGGCACAAACCATCGAATGAGTAATATTGATCGATATATCGATTATTCGATAAGTTATAATGTTAATTTGGAAATTAGGTCTGAGGAAAAAAACTAGTATGGGTTATCAAACTAAGTTCTACTCGTTATTTATTTAACAGATTTTTACTTGTTCATGAAAAAACTTGGGATGATTTTTACTCATGTAATAATATTAATTGACACACACACACATATATATACACATTTATACATATATTTGAATCTGAAGGGATGGTGTTAAGGCCTTTGGGGACCTCAAACAAAAAGTAAATTGGTCCGGGGCGTAGGTCTTACTATAAAAACCTACTGTACAAGCTGATTCATAAATTGATTAGTTAGGTCAAAATAACCTGTAGCTGCTTAGATTTAGAACTGATTTGTGTTGAGGTAAATGAACAATTATCAATACATTACTTAGAGTACGCTATAACACTTTTGAAAATAAAATAAATGTCAGTAAAAATTGGTTTTAATGGTTATATACCTGGGCTTAGGTCACATGTTGGCCTGAATGAAGTAATGTGACAAACAATTGCAGGTCTGTGTCCAACAGAGTAGAGGGCGTTTAGTGAGCGTTTATATAGTGAGTAGTCTGATAATTTCAGGAGTGTCACACTACATAGGTTGGCTACCTGTGTGCGTATAAGGAATTTCACCCCTCTCAGTAAAAAAACAAAACAAAAAATAGTTATATACCACTTCAGTAAATTCATACAATGCATTAGGTAATACACACATTTAATAATTTTTAAATCTTTCTTGTCACTCACTACACTCCAAATGTGTAGACTGTACAATCTTGGGATAGCCTAAAAAAGTTGTTGCATCTTGTGCAATGCTATTGATTAACTTATTTGCAGCAGTGTCAAGTGTTGGAAAAAACCAATACTGTATACCAGTATACCAATACCATGTGGTAAAGATAAAAAGTGAACTTAATTAATAGTCTATTATCATGTAGTGAGAACACTGCACAGGCTGCTCAGGCCGTATAATTGGTTTTAAATACTTACGTGAGTCTTTCATTTATTAGCACCAGATGTAGCCATGGGGTTTTTAAAAAGAGAATGAGAGGAAGCTTGTCACATTGTGCCACTTTTCCAAGTTCTTTTTTCAATGTATGATTATTTTGTTGGTGTGTGCTGCTACAGTTTACAAGGTATGCTTTAAATTTTGTCAGTGTGGACCGACCGAACCACGTTCATGTTCACTCTAAAACTAGCTACAACTTTTGATTATTGGTAGTGGAAATTTAATTTCCAATCATAGTTATACATGACTACGGTTTTCGATTGACGTACAAGATAATACATTTTTTACTCCTGCAGCATGATTTCTATGGTTAAATTTTACTACGTTATTTTTTATTAAAAAAAAACTAAACACAAAATAAATATGGCATACGTATCTTCTTTACGCTCATGTATAATACATAACCATTGGTCTACAAAAATAACTCCACACTGATTTAATTCTAATGATCATCCCACGTTAATGTCTTAGGTGAACTTTAAAAGACATGTACTCAGAAAAATCAAAGATGTGCACACAAATTGAGAAGTGATACTAGTATACACTACACTCCGCTCACAAAATTTAGGTAGTTTGGTGGAAAATTTCCCCTCTACTGTTTTTTGCTCAATGTTTGTTGCTTAATCAGCTGTTGAGCCATTATTTTGAAGGTAAGGGTCGAGTAAAGGGGATAGATTTCTTGCCATAAAACCGCTTAAAGTTTGTGGTGGAGTATTAGCTTTGTATGATGTTAAATACTTACAACCAATTTAATACTCTCAAACCTGTCAATAAAACACATTACATCAAAATAAGTAATTTTTCAATCAAAAACTGGTCAAAACTTAAACAGGGGAGTAAAAAATCTATTCGTAATATTTACGGTACTGTATTATTGCCCTTTAAATAAATAAAAATGACTTTTATTAGCAAGCGCTCCTCACTACAAACTGTTTTACAGGATGACTCTAGTCAATTAACTAATGCTAACCTAAAACTAATGACAAAACAAAATACTCTTCCCTATTTACAAGATTATGGCTATTTACAACTATACATTTCTTCAGTCTAGATCTAAAGGCTAGGACACCCAGCATCTTCAGGTCACAGGGGAAATTATTGTACATTTTAGGAACAAAGTACTGTACGAAGAACCTTTTTTTAAGAACAATGGTTGACATTTGGCGTGTGTATGAAGACGCTATGACACATTTATAAGTTCAATTAGAACATACTATACTGTAGTTAAATCCTCACATTTTGAGCTACTGCCAACACTCTACTATTTTTCGAACTATACTTGATAATGTTACATAAATGATGCAATTACTGATTCTAACACGGGGAGCGAGCTGGCCTAGTAGTTAGAGCGCAGAACTCCGGTTCCTAGGGTCCCGGGTTCAAATCCCGCCTAATCACCAATGGACTTTATCTAAGTGAATAATGCCGAGCCCCTAGGTCTAGCCTGAAGTAATGTGCCTAGCTTCCTAGGAAAAAAAACTGCTTGTTACACAAAGATAATGTTTACCATATAACAATGACATTCGTCCTTTTGGATTATGATACTCTGTCGGTGCCTCTACTCAACTGTTGTTTTTTCTTTCAAAAACTAGTTTTAGGATTAACATAGAATTAGGTTATCTACCAACATAAAAACCAAAGCTTATATCAAACCCAAACTCACACGTCCATATTCATCAAACAATAAAACTCACTTACAAAACGGAACCAGTGATTTTCACCTGACATTTTCCCCCAAATACAAGGTGTCACCCTAAATCACCTTGCGAGGCGTCAGCAGAACATCAGAGCCTGATTTACATTCAGCATTCAAACCCAAAAACACACTTCCTGCACAATCTCTCATCGCTGGACACGATAAGCCTAATCTACTGGGCGGAGAAATGCAAAAAGCGCGCGCAACTCATTGTACACCTGACGTAATCTAGGATTGTAAATCATCGTCGCAATATTTTAGCTGATAACACATTCGTAGTTTTTTTTTCTATAAGAACCGAACTGATGTAGAACAATGACTTGAACAATCGAGAGCTTATCTGAGAGCTTTCGGTCCATTTAATTTAAACATCGCTTCTCCCCCACACGCACCCTCTGGTAATGCCGGCCGATGTTTTAAACTTAAGGGATGCTCTTTGCCCTGTGTACCTGATTTGTTTAGCACTTGTTGGATCGTTTGATTTTCTGTT